TCTTAAATGGAACATATAATTTATAGGCTTCATAGAACAGGTGTATGAGTATTAAAAATGCCTTTGTAAATGTGAGGTAAATAGCCTCAACAGATGAAAGAGAAAATAAATGTTCACTTGATCAGCTTTCATTTTAGTCATGAAATGTTATTTCCAGGATAGTAATTTTTAGTGGTCTTTTCCTTTTTTTTTCCCCATTAATTTTTTTTTTAAATGACATTGACTCTCATTTGTAGATTATATAGGTTGTAACGTAATTGTCGCTCACATAAGCGCTAGCTGGACAGGCTGAATGTTTGAATAGGAGTGCTCACCACCTTAAGAGCAATCCTTGGGAGCTGACTGAATAAGTGAAGGGGAGCCCGTTAGTGGAGGAATTACTTATGTTCTCACACTTTTACTCAGGCATCTGTCTGGCTGGGCTTTGATGGGACTTTCATTTAGTAAATAGCTCTAAAAGTCCTTCACATTTCATGGTTGTCTGTGTATATATATTGTTTTAATTATTCATCTATTCAAACCAGGCTACTGGTGATAGTATTTCTAAAGCCAGTCAAATTTAAAAGTTTGGGTAAGCTTTTAGAATATGATTTTTCCTATATATTCAGAACTTGGTGTCTTGTCTGTGGTCTCTTTTTGACTCTTACATTGGCCAGCTTTTGAAACGTATAACTTGAATTAGTGAGGAACATCTTTCTCGCCAGAAGGATAGTCATGCAGTAGAGCAGGTTGCCTACAAAGGTGGTGAAATCTCTATCCTTGGAAGTTTTCAAGACCTGAGTGGACAAAAGTCTTGAGAAACCTGGTCTGATCTTGCAGCCACCCTTGCTCTGAGCAGCAGGGTGGGCTAAGAAACAGCCAGGATGCCTTCCAGCTGCAATTATCCTGTGACCATACTTGTCAATCATCTTACTCTGTGATATTCTAGCATCTTCTATGCCACGCTGACAGATGTTTTAAGTGATAGTTCTTAATATTAAAGAAAATGTAGCCCTAACAATTAATAATGAAGTTCAGATTTTGGACTTAAAACTTCATATTGTTTACAACAGAGCCTAACCTTTTTGGTTTTTTGAAAGGAAATTGCAGATTCCAGCTAGTCTCATAAAACATTCTTAAAAAAGGCAGAGGAATTTACTTCTTTCCAAGAGACTCTCACTTTGAGACAGCTTGATTTTTATTTGAAAATTTTTTTTTTTTTTTTAAGGAGGATCTCAGCTGAAAACTTAACTGGTGAAGGCCGCCTCCGGGGAGTGCAGTGCACACCAACATCATTGAATGAATAATTTCTAAGCAAAAATTGTCCAGGTTTATCCCTGATTATTTTTGTGGTGAAAGTTTAAAAATTCTTAGCAATAAAATTCGGAGCAAAAACCTAAACTAAACCCCTAGTTTTGGACGATATTTCCTCCTTAAAACAAACAGAAAACCCCCACACCACCAACATCCTGTCCTCTCCCCAGAAACCAAGTTCTTCCTCTAGAGACTACTCTGTCACTCAGAAGCTCTGATTCTGTCCTGCTTAGTCCTGATAGCTGAGAAGCACAGTGACGCTGCTGCTCTCTGCAATCTTCCACACCAGAGGGGCAAGGACAAGAAGTTTTATTTCCTTTACTCTGGATCATCCTCTGTCTCTGCTCTTTTGCAAGTTGCAGTACAATTTCAACCTATTATTCACTTGGTACATGGAAAACAGACCTTTTGACTTAGGAACACACCACATCATTTCTTTGTGGAAACATTTTTGCCAAGAGAGAAGGTGAAGGGATTGCTTTCTAACAAGTACGCGGATGTCAATGGAAAGAAAGAAAATACCTTTTTACTTCATATCGATATTTAAGTTTGATGTAATGTCTGTGTTCTGGTATGCTGGTTACGTTGTTAGCATACGTAGGTTTAGAGCCACTCACTGGTTAAGTTCATCTCCCTTCTAATGTCTTGCCTGTGAGGCATTGAGTCAACAGATGCCTCCATGAATCTGCCAAAATCCAAAATCTTGTTTTGTTCAGAACGGTTGCTTTGTATTCATGCTTACAGTTTATATAGCCTATAAGACTCTTTTGTTTTATTTGCAGATTGTCATAAGCATAGGACTCATGTTTTATGTTGTTCACCGAGCTCAAGTGGAACTGAATGCAGCTATTGTAGCGTGTGAAATGGAAATGAAGACATCGCTTGTTAAAGACAGTCAGCCGAGCATCAGTGGTTCAACCACATACTGCAACAAAAGGACAATAGCGTTCTCTGGAGGAGGTGTCAATATTGTGTGATTTCAAGTATTAATAAAGTAAGGTTTTGTGAACCTAAGCTATTGCCTAGAAATATCTATGGACAATTCAACTAGTTTTAAAAAAAATTACAAGTGCTTACAGGTTGTACTGTGGCACAAACCAACCGACCAGCTCTTGAATTGCACACGGGGTGACTTCTAGCAAGAAGAGAAAGATGGTGAAGTAACTTAAAATGTAAATGCAAATTTGGCTGCACCTTTGGTCATTTATTATGCCTGTCATGGCCTGTAGTCTGCACTTTAGTTTTTTTTCCTTTGCTCCTATAAACTGAGAAATGCTTCTATAAACTGAGAAAAGTAGCACAGAGGTAAATATTTTTCTGCTTCATTATTTATAAGGCTGAATAATTATATGCAGTAGAATTGTATTACTGATAAAGATGAATGAGAAAGTATGCAATTCAATGTATGTTATTCTTAAATGTGCTTTTGCTTTGGAATTGCTTCCAGAACATGGAGTGTATTATTTAGCTAATGATGGGACCATTTGGCTTTTTCTTCATTTTTGATTTTAAAAAAAAACAAGAGAGAACCCTATATAAAATTTTGGTTGAATGTATTTTTGTAAATCATTAGAAATGTTGCAGAGCCATGCATATGTATTCACACAAGCTTAAATCCTACATTGTGGGACTGAAGTGCTCTTAAATAACATTTTAAGTTACACTGTGTAATATGCAAAGTAAAAGGGAAAATACAGAAGTTATAATAGATTGCAGTGACTATTTGCAGGAGACTTCATGACTTAACTGTTGCATTGGTTTTACCACCTTGGTGATTGTAACAAAGGGCTGTTCTATGTTAGTCCTATTTATAGTATTTTTAATTGTTAAAAGGATGGAGCTTTTCAGCTCATGTGACTGCATGTAATAAGGCTTCCAGAACAGGGAGCTAGATCTCTCCTTTAAACAAAATGATGGGATACTGGCAGTACTAATTCTACATGAAGGTGGCCTTTATTTTGTAAGTGAATCCCCCCTCCCTTTAAAAAGCTTTAAAAATTCACTTTGGTTGGCATTTTTTTTTTTCTAAAAGTTTTGCATTTTTTAAGACGCAATCTACTATAAATCTCATCAGAGTGAAGAAATGAAAACTAGAGGTTCTCCTTGGAAAAATAAATAATCCAGTAATGGAGGAGGACGGTAACGTCTCTGAGACTCAGGAATTCTGCTCCATTTTTGCAAGGGAACACTGTATTGGATAATGCTCCTTTTACACGTGCTGTGGACTGTTTTTTCACTGCGTTTGCATAGACTGGACAACCCGGTAGTAACTTGTGTGTGTGTGTAAAAGGAAAACAACAATAATGCCTGATCATGATGTCTTGTATGTGTGTTTCATGTAGATGTATGTACCAATGCAATTGCTCAAACACATGCAAGTCATCTGATACAAAAATAATATATTGCTTATTTTGTAGTTATTTTGCGTAAGTTTTTAAGGATGCTTTCAGTCTTCAAGATTTTGTGTTATCTTCTCAGAGCATGACCGTACCTCCTTTTTGTAAGGCTGTTTGTTGGGTTCAAGCATTTTTGTCTTGAAAATAGCAGGTCTTCAAGGTTTTTGGGAAGCAGAGATTTGATAGCCTCTAACAGTCTTACTGTGAGGATGTACAGTACTCACATAATGTGGCATCTACACATTCCTTGATAGTGGAAGTTCAGTTTTGTTCTTTAAATATGTATCCTTTGCAGACTGCTTGTTCTTGGGCCTTGTGACCTAAAGAACTGAACTAGTTAAATGAAACAACAAAGTTCAGATTGTCTCCTTTTTGTTGTTTTGGGGTTTGGGGTTCTTTTTTGGGGTTTGCTTTTGAAAGGCAATCTGTATATACCTGGAAGTGTTCATTTACACATTTCTGCCTCTGACAGCTCCTGTGTGAAAACAAGAGAGCCAGATAACTTTTTGATGGCGTTTTTTGTCATCATAGTATAATTGAGCTCTTTCTGAACTAATGTTTTTTATTTTTTTGTTTCTTGGAAAGAACAGTCCTTCAATAAATGAACTGATCTGAACTTTGCTCCATCTTGCCAAATCAAGAATAGTGTTTTGAAGAAGGTATCTCTTTCTTTGCATTTTTTAACTAACTTAAGGAAGTGTTGATTATTCAAGAACATTTCCCAAATATGTATTTTGAAGTGCTTTTATTTCCATGACATTTTGTAACCAGAGTAACTTCACTGTGTGAACACTTTTGTAGTATGGAATTAGTTCTTAAGACTTTTGCATTTTGCTTGATACTTGTAATATTTGTGTACAAGTTAATGGGAAATGTGCATTAAAAGGAACTTTTCTGTACCATGCCAATCATAATTTTATACAATAAATTCACTCAAATTTCTTTAAAGGAATATGTATTAAATGTTTAGGATGCTATGAAGTAGTTGGAAAGCAGGTGCAGTGCAGTGTTGTCTTTACGTATGCATGCAAAGATAGTTGTCTGCATTAAAGGAATAACAAGTTAGGATTTAAGGATTAATTCCATGGGTGGGGAATTACTGACAAGGGAAAGACACTTGATTTTAATTTTTTTTAAACTAAACACATGCTTAATTCTGTTACTTTGAAGGTTAGGTATTTGTAGCTGCCTTTTTGGTAGAAGAATAAGCATACATGTGTTTATGAGAAATGTGCTACTGAACTGAGGGGATTGGTATTTTTGAATCTAAATGTTGTAAAAGTGATGTGGGTTTTTTTGTTTTTAAACAGTCTCCCTACTTAGTGCAATTAAAAAATAAAAGAGTATGAATATAGTTTTAAAAATACGTGGCAAGTCACCTTGATGAATATTTGCTGAGTTGCCTTGATGGTGATTCTGCATTTTGTGTATGAAATGTGCCTGAATTACAGGTCATATGGAAGAAGGAATCTCTCTCAGCTGTGTGGCATCAGTTTTCCTTCTTCCTTCTTGTGGTAAGTGCAACTGTGTAATAAATGTCTCAAAATTGAACTTTATCTTAAGCACCTCTGAAGAAACCCCCTTTTTGTCCAAGAGCTTTATATGCTATTTTCATACTGATTTTTGTACAATAACTTCAACAAGTGTTGCCAAGGTTGAGTTTGAAAAATGGAAAAACTGCTCTTACATGGTGTGTGACTAGTGTCACGTATTGGATCCTTTGCATTCGTTTTCAGCTTTCTACCTGAGCCTGGTACACGATTTGGATTTTGACTGACCAAGTTTACTGGAGTCGTCAGTGGGCTTGCAAATGATCTAGGAGACGATGCTCAAGAGGAAATACTATAAATGTGTTCCCATTCATTCTGTGGTTGTTCTTAATGACAGAAGCAAATAGCTCAAGTAGCTCTGTGACAGACTTCCTCACTATAATAAATTCAAAGTTGGTACCAGTCCTTTCCATATAAGACAACAACGGTTTGGGCATAAGGGAATAGGAAATTGAGTGCAGAGGGGAAGCTGATGCAAATTCAGCCTCTGCTGGGGAAAGCAGCTCGTCCCTGTCTTCTCCAGTCCTGCAGAATTAGTGATGTGCCTGGCAGCACAGGGATGATGGGTCTAACACACCCTCTCTTTGTAGACATTAGCACTTGTCTCACACTGTCCTGCTGTATTGATTTTCAATTTATATTAATTTTTTAGTAATAAGTAGCAAGAAATAATTGAGTCTGCAGTTTCAGTCCTGTCCCTTTCCTCCTTCAATAGATTATTTTGGCATATTGCGAAACTTAAAACACTACATTTTAATGAAGTCTTGCATTCATTAATGTAAGTTAAGTCCTCCTTGCTGGCCAAGTGACTAGTATTTGGATCAGGATTCTCAATTCGTTTGGAAAATTAGCTGGGCAAGATTTGCTGTCGTGAGGGTGCAAAGTCCTCTAACTTGCCTTCTAATTATTTAGGACTTTAGATACATTGTGAAATTAGTTACCGGTATAGGTTTATTGTACAGGGGTTTTTGTTGTACAAAAAAAAAGTTGTTAGCAAGTTAGCAGAGGAAGGTCCTGATCCTGAGACTTGAATACTGGGTGTCATTCTCCTTGGGAGATGAGAACGTTGCCAAGATGTAACACACATGAGCTTAGGTGAGTCAAGGTGATTAGGTGCCTGCTTTGGTGAAGGGGATGTAAAACCTGTGTCTTCAGGTCAGCATGGCAAGTCTTTTTTTTATCATACAATCTACAGACCAGCACAGTTTGGCACTGGTGGCTGCAGTGCATTGCTGCCCATCCCTCCTCATCTGGAGGAGGGGGAGTCTAGAGACCTACAACTCTGTCAAGTTGAAGGGGAAGAAGTAATAGTCTGATCACAGTGGACACAGTTTGAGGAGGGTAAATTAACCTTAATGTTGCCAGAACTGTGAGTACATCCAAGTGCCTTGTGTTTTCTTAATTGCCAAATCCTTTGACAGCTTCCGCTTCTTTCCACGGAAGGGCAGGTGGGTGGCCTCACCTGGAGGTAGGTCAGCATTTGCTCTCCTAGAGAATTTCAGCATGCTTTGACTTTGGGACCTCTTAACTTCTAAAATAGTCTTTTGAAAAATTTTGCTGACCTTTTTCTAATTAGAATGGTAATGAGTCCCAGTAACAGGGTGAGGTCAGCTGGAGTGCAAACATGTATGTAGCAAGTGGTGTTCATACATGTGCACCTGGCCCGAGAAGGAACTTCTGTAGGGCAATGTGCATGAGCTCGGTTTGCTGAATGTGAGGTGTTTCCCTCTGTCCCAGTGAGCTATAACTGTTTCCCTTAAAGGCTGTAGGTGGGAGGAAGGAAGGAAGGAAAGGCCTGTGGTGATGGACTATTCTAATAGCAAATTTTTGCTCTCTGCCTTGGAAACTTGATTGCTTAAGATCACAAATGTTCTCCATTTAATGTGAGAAATGGTAGGTGGTGGAGGAATAGACTAATGAATTCTCTGACTGTGGTTATTGTGAGGGAGTAACAATTTGCTTCAATACATGATGAAGCACCCAGATGGTAGAGGGGTGGTTTTTTTGTTGGATTTTTGGGGGTGGGGACGGGTGAGGGTGGTACTACTGGAAGCAAATAATGCTGAAA